TCGTGGTACTACTTTCCAAAGAAAATTCCATTCTCCTAGAAACTTCCTGTCCTGCATACACAAGGTGGTACTGGGATGTCTATAGTCCATAGTCATATTTGACACAAACTAAGTCCATCAGTATCCTTCCCAAATTTAGAAAAGAAGTCCATTCCTCTCTGATAGGAGAAGATACAACATGTGACCCAGGAACCAGTGAGGACCATGTTCCTCACCCATGTGCTACAAACTACAGCAATGTGAAAGAGAGACTGACACTAACAACCAGAGAACAGCAGCAGGGAGGACCTCTTGCTACCAGTGGTCTGGAAGGCCCAAGTGTACCAGCATCCTCATAGTTTAGGTGTTAAACCCTTTCCTCCTTCACAACCATTCTAGTAAATTTCCTTTTCATAAGAAAAGTTTAAATCATGCATCTGTAGCCACAGGAAGGCCAGAGCAAAGGACATTTCAGACTCACCTCCAAGCAGTGGGTAAGGTAACAGTTCTTTGCAGGGGGAGATGAGGGATATAAGTCAGCAGGGAAATGGATTATTAAAGTTATCATGTCTGGTCAGACAGGCTGCTGATGCCTGGAGATAGTGAAGTAACATAGGTGTGACCCTCTGGAGCCACAAAACAGGGGCCAGTCCCTCCAGTATACTGTCAATACTCAAATAGAGCTATCAGGTCACCTTGATTTTTAAAAAATACTTTAAATTTCCTTCTTTTGATAACTGTTTCCTCAGTATTTTTCTGCTTCTCTTTTTTCATTTTTGATCGCTGATGTAGCTGAAAAGGAAGGGCATGTTTATATGCATATCCATGTGCTCCTACACAGGCTAATGCATCAGCATCTGTATTGGGTGTGTATGTGATACTGGGGTTTCATCTTTTTAAACAAAGTATAAGGATTTGAATTTATCCTTTAAAACCTCATCCTTTTTGATTCAACTCATCCTCCATATTTTTTACACATTGCTTTAAATAATGATGCGCTCATCCAAGCCATGAACAAGCATATTGAACATATTCTATGAAAACTGCTTCTGGTCTCAGTTTTAAAAATGGAATCAATGAGGAGCATGGAATTGAATAGTCAGTAGTGCTATAGACTCAGTCATTCCTAAGATTGCTATGTGTGATACATACCTTTTTGGATACAAGGAAATCTTGGTCAAACTGGGAATTTGACTTTGTATACATACAATCAATGTGGCTGGACTTTTTGAAATAAGTTACTGTATAGTTATTTTTATAAAAGACATAAAAATCCATATAGAGCATATTTTTAAATGTAAATTATTGTTAATACATCTAACATGAAGAAAAGAGACATACTGCTGTCTCAGAGGTTAGACACCCTGGGTGTTACAAAGAGCTTAACCTTTAACATCAGCTATCATAACCAGGAACAGCTAGCTCCTGACTGAAATGTTGCCACTGTCATTATTAGAGAACCGCACGCTCATATCCGTGATTGTGCTTGACCCTTACAATGACCCAGAAAGATGTGGCTTGTGATTTTTAAGAAGGTAAACTGAGACTGAAAAGGTTATGAGATTTTTTGGCAACTCAGAGCTAATGTATGGCAGGGCTTTAGCCTAAGAGTCCCATGGTCTTCTATGACAGCTGAAGAGTTTGAGGACTGTGAAACGTTGAAAAAGAAGACACTGATGAAGTTTCAAATTACCTTCTCTAATTGTTCTTGGGCTCTTCGAAGTTCTTCTGCTCTCTGTTTCTCCTTTTCTTGTATTTCCAACTCCAGCTGGAACTCCAACTGCTGCTGAATATTCAGAAATACATACGCCATGTTAAGTCAGATGAAGTTCAAGGAATTAACTCTATCACTTTTAAGTGCCCAAGATCATTTCATTCATGCCCATCTGAACTTACAAAAATAAGTGGTCACAGCCACATAATACTTTCTACAAATATTTCCTGAGGTATAAAACCAAAAAAGAAACTTATTAAATTGCTAATTATAGAAAGTACAGTTTGTACAAAATCAAGTCATTTTCTATGCTTTTCTTGAAGCTAGAAATGATACTGTGGTAATTTTTTCATTTAAGCATAGTTGAATCTTCAACTCGCCAAATTTTGATGCAAAACAAAACAAAATCTTAACAACATGATCTGAAGCCATGAATTATCAACAATATTTTTGGTTCTAACTCAACATACATGTCACAACGGCATAAGGGTCAGCAATGAAGCCTATGGGCCAAATTTGACCCAATCCTGTTTTTATATGGCTCAGGAACCAAGATTTTTTTTTTTTCACAAATTTCTAAACAGTTGGGAAAAAAATCTAAAGAATATTATTTTATGACATATGAAGATGAAATGAGGCCAAGCATGGGACCCACTCCTATAATCTCAGCTACTCAGGAAGCAGTAATCAAGAGGACTTCAGTTCAAGGCCTACCCAGGCAAAAAGTTAGTAAAACTCCATCTCAACAAATAAGCCAAGAGTGATAGTTCACATCTGTAATCCCACTTACAAAGGAGGCATCGGTAAGAGAATTCATTATCCAAGGCCAACCTTGGGCAAAAACACAGGACCCTATCCAAAAAATAACTAAAGCAAAAAGAGATAGGGGCATGGCTTCTTAAGTGGTGGAGTACCTGTGGAGCATTGCAAGTTCAAATTCCAGTGTCACCAAAAAAGAAAAAAAAAAGATATGCAATTCAAACTTCAGCTTCTGTAAATTCACCTGTGCATTGTCTGTGACTGCCTCTGCCCTGTGCCAACAGAGCAGAGTAACTGCAACAGAGGCCACATCGTGGTGTTCTCATTGCTTTATGCTGCTGCTTGGCACTCTACAAATCACAGAGATAATGGTGTATCTCAACGGTGTTTGGAGGGCCATGGGATCACTATTGCTGGATGTTTTTATTATACCATCATGTTAAAACAAGAAATGAACCTTGAATGTTGCACTTTTAAGGCATAATGGAGTGTGGATTATTTTATCTTAAGTGGCAAAATACGGTTTTGTATTATGTAATAACACTATGATAAAAGAATACAAGTCAACATCAACAGTAGCAGACTAAACACACATCACAATATTCTCAAGTCACATGAAAACAAAGATCAGAAAAATCAGAACGCTTAAAACAATTATCTCATCACTGCAGCATTTCTTCACAAAAATGACAATGAGGCTGCAACAGAGGTGAGTTTTTAAGTAGTTCCTTTGCTCTCCAAGCAAGGAAAGACCTTGACCAATGGTGAGTTAATGAAAAGAAGTGAGATTTCAATGGGCAAAGAAAGGTGTCCAGAAAGAAAGTAAGCTGCTTTGGAATGGTTAGCCTTTGGCAAGGCAGGTGTGCACAGTAGTTGGATGAAGCATCAGAAGTCAGTTAAAAACAAGGTGAATGATTTTGAGTGTTTTCCCTGGAATTTTGATGAGAAGATGGATGTTCCCAATTCTGCCCTGTCACTGGTTATTTAAACAATCAATGTTGAGTTTGAAGTGACTATAGCAAGGAGTCTTCAAACTCCAGCTCAGGGAACACTGAAAGACCTCTCTGTTTCTCTTCATCTCCACTTCACTCCCTGAGACTCCCTTCTCTTTGGTTGGTGTCTCCTCCTTCTCCCATTTATTTCTACAAGTTCACTTCTTCAACTGAACATAAAACCTCCTGAGGAATAGTATCCTGCATTCCACCCCTCGATACAATACTTTGGGTTCAGTGCACAGCAGATTAGTTGTGTTAGGCAGCATGGCTAGAGAGATATCTGATTTCTAATTTTGCCAAATGTTATCTAAGTAAGATAAAGCAGATGAGTGAAAGAGTGAAGTATCTTCCCATTGTGATGTAATTGCCTTGGAGGAGGAGAATTGCTGACAATTCTCCTTATCTGATAGACAGTGGACAGACACCAGCCCCAGCAGCTGTAAGAGGAAAGAAGGTCCTCATTCAAAGTTACGTCTGCTGCAGGAGACACTGCCCATCTACAGGGCAGGCTGACGCCCAGCTCAATGTGCTGCAACTTCTCCTCAGGAGTAAGTCTTAGTGAAATTTGAAGTAGGCAAGTTTCAACATCCCTGTCTATCTAGGCACCTTAGTGACAAAAAATTTCCACCTCTGCATTAAAGATAGGGGATTCAGCAGAGAAGCAATTTGCTAGGTCAATATTTTTTCCTTTTATCCACATATGTGGATATTAGGTTTCCTTCCCTTTTTAAATGTTTAGGCTTGAGTTAAGTGAAGTACTTTCTGGTAGAACTATAAAGTCAGCTTACATTTGCTTCAGATTTTTACTATAAATTTAGTTCAGAAGTCACTCTGGAACTATCCCTTATCCAGGGTATATTCCATGATGATTCCTTCATCATTCCCTTACCAACACCTTCCTCTCTTCAGTCCTCTACCCCAAAGCCATCTTGAGGCAGGCTAAATTAGGGAAAGTGTGGAACTCATAGAAAAATATTACATCTTAGATTAGTCGTCCTTTGGCTCAAGGACCACCCTCATCTGGCAGGGAACCACCCATGCCCCTACCCACTCATTGATTATTGGATGAGACTCACCTGGTTCCTCCCTTCCCATAGGTTAGCTTAGGTTTTAAAAGTAGCTGAAAAAGAGAAGCTCACTCTCTCTGCCTCTAGATTCCACCTGGGCCCACCATGCTCCCCTTTGTATTTCCCTTTCATAACTTTTAATAACCTTCATTTACACCCATGTGTCCTGCCATGGATTTTTTTCCTGCAGGACACAAAGAATTTGGAAGTCTCCTGATCACATAGTGAACCAGCACTGACTTCAGTCAAAGGGTCTGCTTCCCCACATTTTCATTCAGATACCCAAAACTAAATGTAGAAAGTCACAATCAATCACACAACCAAACCCAAAGGCACCATTATGAATGCTTCATCTCCAATTGCTACAGAGAACAGGTTGCATCTCTCTTAACAGAAATGCTTAGGACCAGAAGGTTTGGGATTAAAAGAATATATTTTGGAATATTTTCATCCACATGTCTTGAGGATGAGATCCAAGTCTAAACACAAAATTCATCTCTTTCACCTTATACACATAGCCCAAAGGTGAACATAAGGAAAGCAATGTTAGAATTGGACCCTCCCCCCTTGCAGGCAGCTTACTGGGAACACCCCACCACTTACTGGAAGGGCCATACCTGGCCTCAAGAGAATAACAAACTCTCACCTTGGGGGGAGGGGGGGTCTGGAGCTGGTTGAGCAACCAATTTACCTAATTACCACTTATCTTCTCTAGCTTCCCCTAGCAATTGTTAACCCCTGAAAAAATTTTCCCACCCAGCTAAACTTCCCCATCCAGACCCCTCCCCTATATCTACTCCAAGTCTGTAAGCAGCAGTGGGGTTCTGGCTTTGACTAGCTCCTTCCCTCTGCAGAATTTCTTCTGAATAAACCCTGTGCTGGTGTTTGAGCATCTTCTGCCTATCTATCCGGTGCCTCTGTCAGTCTAACAGTAATCTTATACAATATGTTAATAATTTTTTGCATGAAATAAGTTTAAACGTGTAGAATTTGCTACTTGCGGCATCATGTAACTCTCAGAAACTTTCAGATTTAGGAACATTATTGGCCTAGGATTTTTTTTGAATTAGAGATGCTCAATCTGTACTGTCTAGGTCAAGTGTCTCTTCTATCCTCTGAAGCCACCATTCCAAAACTTGACCACTTTCCCCACCCATCCTACCTCACCACCTCATTCTTGGTGAATGTCATGGTCCTTACTTCATGAAGGAGAAACAACCACATAGCAGCTGTTACAACTTTTTACCATAAAACTAACACAACCACATATACCACCTATCTCTGTCCCTGAGTGATAACCGAAGAAGGCCCCTTCCACCTGTGTTTCAGGCTCCATTTTCCCCCCTTGTTTCCATGGAAAGTAGGCTGTATGAATCATCCTCTTTATTTCCTAATGTCTCTCACTCCTCCTACTGTGTTTCTCAATGAATATAAAAATGGTTCCCTTTCCCCTCACAATCTCTCTAAAAGTATCTTGTTTACTCCCGGCTTTCCCCCACCCTCCACTTCTTTTGGTGAGGTTAGGGAAGGCTTTTGGATTCAGGTGATCACTCAGTCCCACTAATGGTGTCCATTACAGCACACTCTCCTTACCTCATAGCTGCTGCTTCTCTAGCAAAGAACACATACACACACACACACACACACACACACACACACACACACACATATAAAGATGACCAATCACACTAGAAAGCCACAGGTAAGTGACCAGAATAGAGGGGTTTTTCAGCCATTGACTTGTGCAATGTTGAGGCCGCACCAGTTCCAGTTATCTCTGTGCTCTTTCCTTATCTTACCTGCTGAAACAAGAGCTCCTCTGCCTTGAGCCGCTCCATCATTTCCTGCTCCAGGAGAGCTAATTCTCTTTCACGCTCCAATTCAACCATTTCCTTTTGTTTCTAGTATCATAAAAAGCAATAGCATGTGACTTATTGGAAAACAATTTGTAAAAACAATCTGAAAGCATGTTAATCACCAATAATAGGAAAAGGATTAAGCAAATTATAGTCTAGCCATTCACAAGCTATACAATGATTTGGGGAGCTGTGCATTTTATCTGAGAAAGAACAGAAAATTAAAACCACAGGTATGTTAAAAAGGAAAAAATCTACAGACAATTATATAGGAAAAAAAAGATGACACATAGAAGGAAATACATAAAAGTCTAAATACAAGTCTTCTTTGGGGGGAGAAATGACCCAAACATTGTATGCACATATAAATAAAAGAAAAAAAAAGTCTTCTTTGGGCATCTTTTTCTCCTATGTTTTCATATTTCCAAGTTTTATATAATAATTATATAATAGAAAGAGATAATGTTGAACTCTTTTCAATAGCAGATAAGTTGAGCCAATTATTATACTCTTCTAACTCCATAAAGGAGGTCAGCACGTACCAGCTGTTCCATGGCCACGTTTTCCTTATATTTGCAAATCCACAGTGCTAAATATTCTATTGGATCCACTGGGCGCACCCTTGCCACTTCTGCGAGACCTTGAGTTAGACAAGTTCCAAGGTAGCTTTGAAGATACGCAGATTCCATTTCTAACTCTAAATAAAAGCCTCTAAAAACAAATGATTTGCATTAGTGCCGGAAGTTTGCAATTAGGGCACAACAAGAGGGAAAATCCCATGAGATCAACAACGCATACCGCCCTATTACGAGCCGGGATACTGCCCATTAGGTATGGCACAAGCAGACCAGCCCCAGCAAACTTCTAATCGTTTCCAAAAGGGCTTCTGAGAAGTCATTACAATGAAATAGCTTCAAAATCCTGAAGGGCCCTCAAGGCCAGAAAAGATGGCCCTCAAGGGCCCTCAAGGACAGAAAGGATGCTGTCATTATTGATTGCAGGATGGCGTTATGCCAAGCAATGTTTGTGTCATTTGACCCTCATAATATAGCTGAAACCTGGGTGTTAGAATTCCCACTGTGCAGTTGAGGTAGACCAAGCTCAAAGAGCTTAACTGACCAGTTAAGATCACACAGTTGGCAGATGCAGGAGATGGAGTTTACACTCACCTCTTGATTCCAGAGCCTTAACTCTAGTGACTCACTAAGATGCTCCTCCTAAGCCAGGAAAGCCATTTTTATAAAACAGCACAACAATCCACCTCTTTTTAAGAAATCATGTGTGTTTAAGGCCAGAGAATAAAAATTCAGCCTCCAAAGAATTGCAAGAGAAGCTCCTCACTATCTGGCCATACATTTTTTTTTCAGGTGCCCCCCAACACCTCCTGGGCTCTCACTTCCACTGAATATTCTTCCATTCTGCTGGTCATGCTCTGCACTCTTCCATCTCCTTGTGTCTTGTACATGATGATGATCCCTCCCTCTCTCTACTCTTGGAAAATGCCTCCTCATCTGTATAACATAAATATTTCTTGGTCTCTGAGCTTCCCCAGGCACCCCAAGAAATTACCTCTGGCTCCAAGTAGCTTGCATAGCCCTCATCATGCTGCCTGAGAATTATCTGTGTGTGTGCGTGCATGTGTGCATGCCTATCTTTCCTCAGAGAGACATGCTCCTCTAGGTGCTCCAGGAGTGTTTGAATCACAGGGCTGACACCACTGTCTCTCTATGGTGGGAAGTGAATGAGTTTCTCTACTCTCTCAGTTATATTTCAGTCATTTCAGTTATGAAAACAGACAGCTATAATCTTAGCTCAGATATTTTTTAAAAGAAAAAAATGCAACAACCACTATATCTCAAGTGCTTCAAAAAAAAAAGCTGATTCACATTCAAATTACCCTTAATAGTTTATGAAATCTGGACTCTTCTAAGAATCCGATAAAATGTGTTAGATTATTCAACAAATATATACTGAGTGCTTATTATGTGTCAAGTACCCATGATAGGAACTGGGAACACAAATCTGCTATGGGCTGAGTGTTTGTGCTCCCCCAAATCCAAATGTTGAAGTACTAATTCCCAATGTGCTAGTATTAGGAGGTGGATTGTTTGGAAGGTAATTAGGTCATGAAGGTGAAGCCCTTTTGGATGTGATTAGTGCCCTTAAAAGACATGAGACAGCTTGCTCTCCTGCTCCCAGAGTCCTTGCTCTCTGCTGTGTGAGACTGCAATAAAAACACAGTTGTGTGGAAATCAGGAGGACCCTCGACAGGCTCCAGGAATGCTAGTACCTTGGACTCCCCAGCCTCCAAAACTGTACAGAATAAAATGCGTGGTATTTAAGGCCACACGATGTTGTTCCAACCTGAATTTCTTATAATAGTAATCTGAACTAAAAACAGTTTCTGCCTTTTGAAGCTTACAGATGAATAGGGAAGACAAATATTAACCACATAATCAAATCAGTAAATGTAAAATTTAAATTTAAATAAGTGCTATGAAAAGCAGGAAGGAAATAGGGGAAAATAAACAAGTCAGTGAAGTCAAGGAACACTTCTCTGAGGAGTGATATTTGAGCTAAGCTCAAAGTTATGTGATGGAAACAATAAAATTCACAAAACAAAAAAGAGAAATGAGAGCCTTGGCAGGCTGGGAGCGTGGCCAAGTGTGGTAGAGTACCTGCCTCGCAAAAAAACACAAGGCCCAGAGTTCAAACCCCAATACAGCAAAACAAAAGCAAAAATAAATAAAAGCCTTGGCAATTATAAGGGTTAGCGTGCCAGTGTGTCTAGATCTGTCCTTGAACCTCACTTTTTTGTTGTTGTTTTTGCAGTACTGGGGTTTGAACACAAGGCCTACAACTGGAGCCACTCCACCAGCTCTTTTTTTGTGAAGGTTTTTTTTTTTTTTTTTTTCCCAAGGTAGGGTCTCACAAACTATTTGCTGGGCTGGCTTCGAACTGCAATCCTCCTGATTTCTGCCTCCTGAGTAGCGAGGATGACAGGCGTGAGTCACCAGTGCCCAGCTACACCTCACATTTTGCATAAACTTTCAGAAATTCTGACTATTCATAGGCACCAACACTACTCTTCTGTCATATCACAGTGGTGGGGTTGCAAAATGGTTTAACCCCTGTGGAGAGGAATTTGGCAAACTCTAGAAAATCAAAATATGTTTACCCTTTGACCCACCAGTCTCATTTCCTGAATTCTATCTCAAAGAAGCACTTGCAAAACTATAAAATAGCATACAGTAGACCCTTGGTTTCTGCAGGTGATTCCAAGGAAACCTCTGTTGAGGAAAACCCGCTCCAGACACGGAGTTCAGTGCTGTATTGCCGATGCTTGACTCAGTTTTCCCCCAATGCTGCCCAACTTCTGCTAAAGATATGCTTGCCTTTCAACAAAGTTTCAAATTTTCACTTATTACTTAAGCATATTATGTGCCTTTTTGGGATGGAATTACCATACCCTTTCCCTTTGTTTTGGGGCACCATTTGCTTTTTGGGAAGTATGTTTTCACAAAATTTAGGGCAGGGAAATACTCAGCAGATCACACAAGGATTTAAATACAAATGAAGATAACATGGGACTGATTGAGAGCGTCTTTGCATCAACTGAGGTGTGTAATGCACGCAGATATGATTACTGTTTTTGGAATTAAAAAATTATTTTTTGACTGTGCTTGTTCAAGACCATGTGCAATAAATCCCCCAAAAAGGCAGATTTACGGTATTTGTACCATAATTTAGCACAGCGACACTGGAACACCACTGGATGCTCATCAAATGGGGGTTAGTGAGATCGAACACAATGGATTCTTGCCCAGATGTAAGAGAATGAGAACATTCTCCAAATAGGAAGTGATCCCTAGAACACATAATGGGGTGAAAAAAATCATGGCGCAAAAGTTGTATACTCCATCTTTGCATAAGCAACAGAAGTAGGGAAAAGAATGTGTATGCTGTGTACATAAATGTAGTCCTAAAAACTCCAAATATTGAAGACAAATGTGCAAATGAACTAACTTCCTGTCCAGTGGGATAAGCGCTGGAGAAAAACCTGCAGGGACATCTCAAGGTCATCTGAAGTGAAGCTACATTCAAAAGGGCAGGAACTCCTGATGCTGCTCCAGAAGGATGTAACATGGAAAGGGCACTGTGGTCCCCAAGGGGAAAGCCACTGGCCTTAGAGTCAGCCAAGCCCAGGGTCTGTCTGTCTCTTATGAGCGTGCATAGCATTATAGGGGAACCTGGGCAAGCAAGGCTCCTCAGTCCTCTCCTGTAACATTCGTTTCCTGTCCACGCATCCATGAGAATACCCATCTCTCCGGCTCTGAGTAATGGTATTTTTCAAATACACCAGTACGTATCTCAGCTGGATATAAGAAAGCCCTTTCCGGGCTGGAGAAATGGCTCAAGTGGTAGAGATCGCTTTCCTACCAAGCGAGCGAGGCCCTGAGTTCAAACCAGTACTGGAGGAGCGGAGGGGAAGCGGGATGAGGGGAGGGGGAAGGGGGAATGGGGGAGCCCCTGCCCACAGAAGCAGCTCAGGCGCCCAGCCTGAAGAAGCTGCCACAGGCAATTGAAAGAAGTCCTCTGCCCACAACTGGGAGAGAGCCGGCCAGATAAATGGGAAGAGAGGGGATCAGGGCAAGATACCTGATTTGACAAATAAAAATAGAACACACCCAATTAAATTTAAATTTCGAAAAATAATGAATAACTTTGTAATATACTTGACAAGGAGAGAGAAGGAACAGGGGGAGAGAGAAAGAGGAGGAGGAGAGGGGGAAGGAAGCGGGGAGGAGCCGGCCACCGAGAGGCGGGACGGTGCGACCTACGCCTCTCTCAACGTCGGACGCGAGAGCCGCCTCTGCGCAGACCCGGGGAGCCGTTCTCTGGTTCTGATCATCGCGGCGCGCGCCCGACGCTCCCGCCTCCGCCTTCCCGGCGAGTCGCGTCCCGTTGCTAGGCAACGAGCGCGCGCTCAGGGGTCCAGTGACCCAGCGCTGCAGGGGGAGCGGCGCGCGCAGCGCAGCGGTGAGCCCGGCGCACCTTGCGGGAGGGAGGTGGGGAATGCGCGCGGGAGGGGAGAGCACAGATTATCACCCAGAAGCTGAAAGGAGGGGGCTACGAGAAAGAGCTTTGGAGCCAGGTGGATACGCGGGCTAGCTCTGGGAGAGATGGAAGGGCAGCGGCCTTTTGGGGAGGACTCCTGAGGGGCCGCCTGTCCTGGAAGAGCAAGAGACCCCCAGAGTCCTTAGGAAACTGTCACTGCAACCTCCTGGCCCAGCCATTTCATGACTTCACAGCTTTGGACTTGCTGGTGACCTCTGCTTGATTCCTTTCAGAGTCATCTCAGGCACACCCTCCTCTGCGAAGCCCAAGGACTACCTGGCTTAGTCAGGTGTGCATAATACTCTAGACCTTTTCCCATGGTGTTCTGACTTAGGGGCAAGGTATTGCTTGCAGGAGAGACCGCAATAAAAGCTCACTGGTTTTGTTTTTGGTTTTGGGGTACTGGGGTTTGAACTCAGAGCCTACACGTTGAGCCACTCCATCATCCCTTTCTTGTGATGTTTTTTTGTTTGTTTGTTTTTTGAGTTACGGTCTCACGAACTATTTGTCCAGAGATCCTCCTGATCTTTGCCTTCCGAATAACTAGGATTACAGGTGTGAGCCCAGCTCA